TTCTCCGGTACCGGGGACCGAACTCACGACCTTGCGCTTGCCAGGCAGGCGCTTTTGCCGCTGAGCTAAATCCCCAGCCCCACTATCAGCTTCTTGAAGGCATAGAGTTTTCTTCTCTTTTGGTCACTGATCTTTCCCCAGTTATTAAAATATTCCCCAGGATGTCATAGGCACTCAGGAGACATTTGTTTGGGGTGGGGTTTTAAAATTTTCCTGCAGTGCTGGAAGCCCTACACAGGGCCTCATGCACGTTAGGTGAGTGCTGTAGCATTGAGCCGTGTCCTCAGCCCTAGGTACTGATTCGGTAAATGTTGTTGAATGAGTACGTAGGTGGAAATTGCATCTCTGATTTCAGTTTGAGACTGGATGACTTCTGAAATGACTGTGATAACAGAGCCTCTGACCCAGTTACTCGTGTAGCTGTGTGCGTGCTGACTCGGTGTGGTGATCTTAGTAGACATAGGAGATGTTGTCTCTGATTTTTTATTTAGTTTACCTTTTTTTAGATGGAGTCTTGTTTTGGAGCCTAGGCTGATTTCCAGCTCGTGGGCTCAAGCAGTCAGTCACCCTGCCTCAGCCTCCCACGGAGCCGGGGTGGGGTGCCTCGGTGCCCCGCCAGCCTTGTTTCTGAACACGTGTAGATTAGGGGAGAAAAGGGCCTGTGTGTTCAGCAGAGGCAGTGACCTTCTGAGCTGGAAATCTTAGGGCTCTCTCTGAAAGCACAAGTGAGCGCCATCCTCCCGCCGTGCCTCGGAGACTGTGCGATAGGTTTGACCTGGAGTCCCGCTGTTGCTGTTTCTCCTGTGTAGCTTGGGTGATGGCTGCAGTTTCCCAGCTCGCCTGGTGGGGATGGATCCAGAGCAGGCTTCTGCGACGAACCAGAATGACCATGCTAGAAGGTGAGTTTCCTGTCCTTGTGTTTTTCGGTATTTATTGTAAAACCATGCACACGTGTATCTAGGAGCACATACGATAGCAAGCCGTCGTAAAGAGGGGAAGAGAAAGTCTACTTACGTTTTTTAAACTATGGGTTAATGTGTGTGTGCACCTAAAATGCTTAGGATCGCGGTATATTTTTATCGTTCAAACCAGAACACTTTTAAGAACATGGAAAAGTTCTTGTGTGTGAAACATGTATCATAGGTAAAGTAAGACAGTTACAAAGAGCCGGAAAGCTCTGGGCACGCTGAGAAGCAGGGCAGTATGCGGCATCTTCTTAGAAAGTGAGATATTGTCCTATGTCGGTTATATTCTTTCAAAGGAATCGTACAATAAAACCACCATTTTCATCAGTTTTAAGACAGTGTCAGAATGAGTACTCACAAATGCAGGTTTTTTTCTTACTCATCTTAATGGAAAAAATAAACTTTCATAAATTCAGTGAAATAGTCCGTTTTTAAATGGAATTTTAAAGAAGATAGATGCTACTTTTGAAGTGAAACACTGGAAGTGTGTGTATTACGAAAGTAAGTGGTACGCGGCGAGAGGCTCTGTGTTCCAAATTAGCATCCTGACTGTAGAAGAACGTAAACTTCGGCACCCGCAGCCTGAGGCCTCAGACCTTTGAGCCCTCGCGTGTTCGCGGTCTGTGGTCTCGAGCCGGCTTCGCCTCGCCCGCCGCCGGCCGTGGGAAGGGAGAGCGAGCACAGAGCGCCGGCGCACGCTCGGACCCGCGCCGGCAGTCGCGGTCCCTCTTCCTCCCCGCTGTCCTCCGCGCCCGCCCTCCCTGGTGCTCTGCGCTGGAAGAAGAAGTCTGCGCTAAATCACTGAATCATTTTTTCCCCTTAGATCTAAACTGCAGAGGTAGAAAGCAGAAAACTTGGGAAATGACAGGTAATTTTTTGTACTAGCGCAGACGTAGCTCCTCACCTGCCCCTGTACTGCCTTCCGGCCCCTCATTAACATGTCACACGCTCAGGCTTGCCTCTGAAGCTTTCTTCCTTTCGTCTAATCATTTTCGTTGGCAGAGTTGGAGTGCAGGTTCTCGGGTCTAGAGAGCCGTGTCATGGGGGTGTGGGCGTATTTTTCTTTGGAAGATAGTTTCAGCTGAGTGCTGAGGTCTCCGGCGTTGCCCTCACCTGTTCAGGAAGAGGAATACTAATTTGCTGCTTATTAATTTATGAAGTGTCCTTAGTTGAGCATTCATCTGTTTACTAGATTATTTTCTCCTCTTTTCAGTATTGGCTCAAATCCGCCTTTTCCTACCAGACCCCTTAGCGAATCAAAAAACCGTTTGTTGGACACTGAATCTCAGTGGCTGGATAACGGGGCTGAAGAAGGAGCCGTGAGATCAGGTAACGGTCTCCCGTGGGCGCGCTGCGCATTGGGCTCGGGTGAAGGACGTACGTGTAGGAGGGCGGAAAGGACACGCTGTTCCGAAACACCAACGCGGGGGCGCGTCGGAGACGCGTGTGTGGAGCCCCGGTGCCCTGGCGGCTTCTCCGGGCGAAGCGGCGGGCCGGGCCGGGCCCCGGTACCGGGTGGTTCAGCTCAGCCGGGCGTTCGCTCCTGGCCGCACGTTTCCTCACGCGGAGACGGAAAGTTCCGTTGTTGCTGGCTGCTCTGGTGAGCGTTTTGACGTTATTCTGTAGGGCCCCAGCTTATGCTTAGTCGAAAATAACTTCTGAAAAGCGCTGTGCTCTTCATTGCCTCAGTTTTTGAAAGCTGTGTGCTGAGTATGTTTTAAGCTTCTTAATGACTCGGTCAGTTCCTAAATTGCGGATACAATACAGAATAAAGGATAAAATTGAGGTGGGATTTCTAGTCAGAGTGGGATTTACAGTATCATCTGATCACTTCGCGTGGTAGCCTAACGCATGTTGGAGACGCTTCTTAATGATAAAACTGTCGGAGGCCTCCAGTAATAACAGTGATGACACTGTCGTCTTGCAGTGTAGGAAAGTCATTGGAGACATTTGGGTCGTTTGTACTAACTCTAGAAAATACCCTAGAAACACTTGCTTTTTTTTTTTTTTTGAGGGAAGGGTCAGTTTGGCTTTTAGCAGTATTGTAAAAACTCTCTTAAACTAACATTTTAGGATAAGACCTCTTCAGCAGATGAGTGGAAAATTCATTTTGTGGAATTAATTCTTGCTGCCTAACATCTTTAAAACCAATGTGTAAGAATCAGCCTAAAACCAGATTTTTGACTCTTAAACCTATGCAGTCACTTCTGTGTTTTACAAGAAGGCAAATGGTCGGTGCTATAAGCCTATTCACTGCTTCCCTAATAGTTCTTTTTTTTTTTTTGGTTTTTGGTTTTTGGTTTTTGGTTTTTCTCCGGTACCGGGAACCGAACTCATGACCTTGCTCTTGCCAGGCAGGTGCTTTTGCCGCTGAGCTAAATCCCCAGCCCCCCTAATAGTTCTTAATGTAACCCATGTTACCACCTAGCCACCTAACCCGATACTTTTGTCATGTCGTAATTGTGTGCTTCCAGGGACAAATAACCATGTCACAGTGGCAGTGGAAAATTGAGTTCCACTTGTTCCTAACTAACCATGCGGTCAGAGCAAGGTAAGACCTGGAAAGGTAATTTCCTCGAGCAAATCGTTCAGTTACATATTCCAAATCGAAACAGTTTCCAACTTTCTCAGCTTGTCAGTTGTGTTAGCAAAATTTCAGTAGAAGAAAAACTGGAAAATGACATCTGCCAGTCTCACTCTTCTGAACTACCTCTAACACAGCGTTAGTAAATACTGGTTGGTGGGTAAATGAAGAAACAGCTTCGGGTTGGTATGTGGACAGCTAACCTTTCCAGTAGCGGTGCCTTATTACTTAATGAGCCTGAGAAAGAGGTGGATTTCGCCTTCTGTTGGAGGAATTTGATTCGGAGAGCAGTGGTTCCGGCTGCGGACTGGGAAGACGGACGAGGCCCTGTGCCGTTTGTCTGGTTTTGTAAAGGACACAGCAGGTCACCACAGACGCACGAGCCTGGGGGACGGCAGTGGCCACCGTCCTGTCCCCGCCTGGGCCTCGGCCGGGGGAGCCTCCCTTCCCTGCCTGCCCCCCCCCCGCTTGTCACCGGGCTGAGTTGTCCTGGAGGGCAGGGCCAGGGCGGAGTCGGGGGCCATGGCGGGCCAAGCGGCTGCGTCCAGAAAGCGGAGCCCGGTCACAGTGACGCACAGCTGTAGAATAGCACTCCGTCCGGGCACGTACTGCATCTTAGTACCGGTGGGGTACCGGCCGCTGCTTGTGGTTGTTGGGGGTCCCCGGACGGCCGTCATGGCAGGAGCTTGCCCGCCTCGGACTCGTGTGGGTGGATGTGCTGTCCGGGTTCACAGCGGGGGGTGCCGTGGGGACCCCTCTGTGAAGCCCTCTTGGATTGCTTCAGAAGGAAGCCAGGGATAGCCCCTTAATACTGCTTGTAAGAATCTTTCTTGTTTACAATGGTAGTAATACGGCAGTCATTTCCTGTCTTGCACTGTTAGCACCTTTATTCCTTAGCCCACAGGACCATTTAATATATATTTTAAGATACAGAAAAATCAAGCGCTCGGTAGTAAGTCAGTCATTTCTCTTTTCATAGGTGTATAAAAACATTATGGACTGGCGTTTTCCATTTCATTTGCAAGAAAATGATGGATGGAGTGAAGTCAAATGTAACAGAAGATCTATTTTTTAAAAACGGAAGTCTTTGTGCAGTTCACTGGATCTGCAGAAGCACTACAGAACAGTGATGCCTTAATTTTAAGTGTGCATTTGTGCATCGCGGACTCACAGCTCAGAAGTGACTTGATTCCCCTTTGGAAAGAACGCTTGCCTGTCAGGAGATGCTGGTAGGAGCTCCATCCCACGTTCACATGGCAACCGTGTTACACCTGAGTTATAATATTAGCGCGATCGCTTCGTTTCCAGGTAGATGTTCACTCCAAAACACATGCTAAAATCTTGTCTTAAGTGAAGTACATCTGGGACAATTGGTGGCTGAAATGAATAATATCCAAATTACAATTGCCTGAACTATAATAAGGGAAAGAAAATGACTGTTTTTTAAAAATTGGGTGTTTGCTAATTTATACTTTTTATACTTTTCAACATTTTTAATAAAGATCTTTTTATTCTTGACTATAAAATAACATACTCAGAAGGATTTAGATACCTAAATGTAATCATGTAGAATGTAGAACACGTTGGTATAATTCACTGAGGGCTTTTTGTTAAGCGTGTACAACCATGTAGTGTGCTTTGTACCCAAGGGTTTAAGGAGACATGGCTGTACAAGGTGGTGGACTCTCTGCTTTTTAATTATTTTTTTGTTGGTCTGAGGGTATTATGGGAGGCACAAATTACATGTGGTATAAAAGATTTGACACAGTAAAGTTAGATGGAACTGGCTAGAAGAAAAACAAAACGATAGGCAGCATATTGTAAGCCGTTAAATGTTTTCAGTTCTAAAGGCATTTAAAACAAAACACTGTTTAGTTGACTTTCAATGTTTGATTCAGGTTCTGGCTAAGAATTATTTTGAAACTTTTTACAGTAATGTTATAACAGCTTAAACAGTGAATTAAAATGCAGTTTGAACTAGAAAAAAACTTCAGAATAATGTAACTCTCAGGAAGAAATTGTAAGCTTCAGTAGTCATTTAAAATTCCCAGTCTCTGAGAAATGGATTCCAGTTCTAAGTGCCAAATCTTAAATCAGACTATAAAAGGAAAATACTATAAAAGATGAACACTGCAGAACTGCTACTCCTCCTCAGTGTACGGGTTAACCAAACACACTCCTCCAGATCGGTTCCAGTACATGGGTGAAGAGAGACTTTACCAGCATCTGTAGCAGAGGTTGTCATTTCCTTGCCTATAAAATGGGATTGCAGGGTAGAGGGCACCCTGAATGAGTTTCACGGGATGACTTCTAACATTCTGTAATTCCTATTTGCAAAATACCCTTGCTTTCCATTCATCTACCAATATTTTTGGAGTACTTTCTGTAAGTCAGTGTATTAGAAATAGCACTCTAATTTTCTAATCTAGCTCAGATTCTATAGTTGATATGCCAAGTTTACAATATGAAGGACTAATTTGCATTGACCACACTAATACTAAATCTTAAGAAAGTAACTTGTTTTCTCTCTGGACCAAAAGAATGAGTTAGCTTTGAAAACACCATTTGGAAAGTACTGCTCTAGGTTTTTCTACTTTTATTTCCACTCTTTAGTCTCCATAATCTTCATTTTAGAAAACTAGCAGGAGAGTCAAGATATCAGTTAGCAGCCAAAAGCCTAACTTCACTTCGGTGGTTTTGCATGTTACAGGAATTAATAGTTTAAAAATACTTGACAACTTCTAGAAATGCTCAGGTCTTTGTGAGTACATTTCAGTCAGAGGGTTTGCATGCACCTGGCTAGCTAAGGAAGCATTTTCCCTTTAACCTAACTCAGGCACTTTTGTGAATTTATGGTATTTTTTAATTCATTTGTTACTTAACGTCACCTTTAATAGTATAGTAAGTATCGTACCTTTTTAGAAATGTCAGTTAAAGGCACTTACTTTAGTTACCTTTGATTTAATTAATTTACAGCCAACATTTGGCCACATGGTAAACATTTCGCTAACTTTACTTAGTATCTGGGACCATTCGTGAGGGGCCTACAAGGGGGTGAGGGGAAGGCGGCCTCTTTGGCATTTCTACTGGTGTGGGTTACCGCTCTCAGCTGTGTGGGCGCAAAAGATCAGACGAAGCCTTGCCAAAACTTCTGATTACTTCGGTCCTTCGAACACTTGAACATTTGTGATGATACTTAAGGAAAGTGCAGTTGAATTTCAGGTCTTGCTGTTGCCATTAAAAGTAAATTAGACAAGAGACTTGGTTCACCTGGCGCAGATTTACTTGAATATTCAGTACCTGAGGCACCTGACAGTATCGCCGTGCCAGACCAAAGAGCAGCTGCCGTGTATCAATTACTGAAAAGAATCGTGTTTACAAGGTTCGGTTTCCTCTTCACATAGGATGACGTTTTAAAAACTTTTTACCTGTTTAGTGGCTATGATCCAATGAGTTGTAAGTTTGTAAGACTATAAGACTAGCTTAAATCAGATATGCAATATTTACTTGAATTTTATTTCTTTAGTGAGCAAATTTGACTATGTTTACGCGGGTGTTCAAGGTAATTAGGCCTGTAAGTCACCCATTCAAAGCAAATGCATAGTAAGATCTCGGGGTTAGGAGCTGCGTATTTTGGGCATATGAGTAGACAGTAATGTACAGACACGTTTCGCTCACGTTGGTTCCCTGCCTAGCACCGCTATCAGTGGAGAGTATTTTTGACTAACCTGTTATTAAGATACCATATTTTTGCATTTCAGCCAAACAGGTGATGTGTAAATCTGAAATCCTTGTGTTTCATATGCTCTAAACTGTATTTTTCAATTTAAATTAAAAATGCAATATAGATTCAGAAAAGTCCATATTTTTCTAATGACTTCACTGTATTATTTTGTTGGGTTGCATAAAGCAGCAAGGAATTGTATTTGTATTAAAAAGATTAAGAAAGCTGTTAAGTTTATTATATTTGTACATGATTGCAGATGAGTTTATACGCATCTAAGAGAAAAGATGGACACTATTTTAGAAGTGATTTGTTTTGTTTTTGAGACAGGTCTTGCTGTGTTGTAGCGCAGGCTGTCCTTGAACTCACTATGTAGCCAGGGCTGGCCTCGAATGCACAGCAATCCTCTTGTCTCAGCCTCTCGAGTGCCAGGATTACAGGCATGCACCATTTAAAGTGATCTTTAATATGCTTTTATATGAACAAGTTTAAAATACAGTTTACTTTGGTTGTCTGTACTTACCAAGTACCATAAGCCTTGTATTTATTTCTCATTTGTATAATCCTGGATCATGATGGAATGTTGACTCTGCTTTGTTTTTTGGGTGGCCTAACCTATATTAATTACCATGTATGCAAAACATTTTAAAGCTTTTTTCAAAGATCATAATTACTTTATTAATAAATAAAGTCTTGTTTTGAACAGTTTCACTGTGTTTTTTGTTTTTTGTTTTTGTTTTGAGACAGGGTCTTGCTCTGTAATTCATCCTGAGCTTGAACTCATTATGTGTAGCCCAGGATGGTCTTCAACGCACAGCAGTTCTCCTGCCTCAGCCTCCCAAATGTTGCTGTTAAGGCGTGTACCACCACACCTAACATTTTTGTTGTTGTTACAAGTTGGTATTTACCAAGTGAAAGAATAGTAATTTTGATCAATTTGAAAATTTGGTAGAATATCACTTAGAGAGCTTAGGTAATACCTTGGGGAAACTACTTCTAAGGTATTTCAGTGCAAAAAAAAAAAGTTACAGTTTACAAGTTTTCTTCAAAACAGAAAGGGTATTTTCGCAGTATGGGGCTCTGACAGCATGGAGGATGATAAAATTACTCAGAGACAAGACTTGGCCAAATAGCAACAGGCCCAGAGGGGCTCTCCCGAGTGTCCAGTCCCAAGGGAGCAGTCCCAGACTCTGAGCTGTCTGGCTTTTATTGCAGGGAAAAGTAAGCAGAAAAGGTGTGGGTGTCGAGGAGATTTGCTATGTGACACTTTCTAGGTTCATCCACGCCATTTATCTGGTGTGAGGGGAAGCAGTGGCTGAACCTAGCATGTTTCCCTAATCTTTACCCATATGTTCCAGGGCCTGCAAGCTTTTTGTCCTGCAGCCCCTTCATGACTTCAGTCATTCCTTCACTAAAATCCCCCACAGGGTATATAGCTTAGCTTTTACTGTGCATTTTAATTTCAGATACCACTTTTAACATCTTAAACACTGCCAGGGTTGGTGGTACACACCTGTAATCCCAGCACTTAGGAGGCTGCTGAGGCAGGAAGATTGCCATGAGTTTGTGGTTAGCCTGAACTACATCATGAGACACTGTCTCAAAAAGAAAACAAAAACCTTATGATCATGGAAGTTCTGAGTAATAGGTTTCATCAGTGTGTGCTTTTATGGCATCTGTCTTCCACTTCCCTTCGAAGGGCTGTAGCTCTCAGGTTGAGATTGCTGAACTAGTAAAGCAAAAAAGAAACACTTCCTCCCATTCAGGAGCCCCCGCCCTTCAGTAAGCCCAGATAGGTTTCTGTCTCCCCAGAATGATGGAATTCTCTTTCTGCCATATGTAAAGTAGGTGACACAGGAATGTAACCTCCACCAATCGCGTACCTCCAGCTTATCCCGCCATATGCAAAGGAGGCGAAGCTCTGTAACTTTCTGTCCAATCAACAGTGGGCGCCCTGCCCTGCTCACCTGTAAGCCCTACGGAAACCTTGCTCTGAGAGGGCGGGGCCTGACTCGAGCAGCCCAAGCAGCCCTCAGGTTAAGTAAAGCTGTGCCCTTTGAGCGCCGGTCTTCCAGCCGGCTCGCTCCCTGCCTCGTAGGTGCCCGGAAGGAGGGGCCCAGGTGCACGGAGAGCCACGCTGCGGTGAGCGCTGTTGCGCGCCGGCCCTGAGGCTGGCCGCCGCTGCTGCTCAATTGAGAACTACCATGACACAGAGAAACAATGGCATAGTTGTCCCACCATGTACTGGCTGCAGATGCCCACCTAAGGACGTGTGTGAATCATTCAAACATGGAGAAACCCCTGGGAATACGTGCCATACAATGGGTCACTCTTGGTCCTGCCGTTGAGAACCAGAAAGGTCCAGAGTCAGCGGAGGAGCAGCTGCTGAACAAGGACTCGGAGAACATGAGAATGCAGACTAAGCCCACGGAGTCAGAGGTCCAGTGGACTGGGGTCATGAGAGCCGCTCAGAAGCTGTAAACCAGGAGGACCTTGCACAATACCTGCAGAGACTCATTGGAAGCCATTCTTTCCCTGATAGTACAGGCTGTGGTGGAGCTCTGGAGAAATCTGCAGCAGGATTCTTGCTGCCTGTGCTGACAGTTGGGGAGAGGACACTAACTGGTTGTGGGGTCCCAATGCAATGCAAGGCTGGAGAGAAAACGCTACAAAAATGCCTTTCGCCCCAAATGGTTCACTTGATTTTTGACAACTCTTTTGGAATTTATGCCAAAATAAGTATAGGTTGTGTCTGGACGCCCCCCCCCCCACAAAGCCTTATGTCATGGGGGGCTGGCTTGTTAAACCTGGACCTCTCTCTTCATGCCCTCCCTCTCGAACCGGTTACAGTGTTTCCAGCTCAACTCAGCAGGGGCCAGGGTTACTCTGTAAACATCCTCGTCCTGTGCAAGAGGGCAGGGAAATGATGGGAGTGCTAACCTGCCCCAGGGCGGTGGCCTGCTTACAGTATAAGGGACGAAAAGAGGCTCGTGCCCCCTTTTTTGCTCTTGCTGCTTTTGCTGTCTTCTACCACCTTGAAATGCTGCCCCTGTGCCCTGCCACCCTGCCTTGGAGCCAGCCGATTATGGACTGAAACCTCCACAGACTGTGAGCTAAATAAACCTTTCCCTCTTTAACTTTGGGTGTCAGGTATTTTGTCCCAGCAGTGAGAAAAAAACAGACACAGTAAGCGCTTAAGATTTTTTTTAAGACAATGAGGAAAACCAGTGTCCATCAGAAGGAAATTGGTTGTGTTTATAAAAATTGAACTATTTCCATGAGAAACAGCATAAGTCGTTGGGAAAAGGGCAGTGGGAAGCAGAATAGTAGTGAAGGGGTCATTCACATTTTGCTTTGCTTTTGAATCTTTGTATATTTTACCATATACCTAAATGTGAAATCCAGACTGGGTAGCTCTGTTTTATTTATCGTTATAGTTCCAGGCCCTGAAACTGTCAAAGTCATACTAGACCCTCCACACCTTCAGAATGATATAATTGCTTACAGCTGAGCAGTAAATAAATTTGAAAACATTAATCAAACTTTCATATGTTTTGGTGGTAGTATGGTTGTATATGCACATACAGACATGTAGGAACACACAAGTATTAGTTTTTGGATCACAGACATTACAGTGTTTTTGTAGTTTAAATTTGCTAAGAGAAACATCTTTTAAAGCTAGGTGTTGTGGCGCATGCCTCTAATCCCAGCACTTGGGAGGCTGAGGCAGGAGGATCATTGTGAGTTCGAGACCAGCTTGGGCTACAGAGTGAGCTCAAAGCCAGCCTGAACTGCATAGTGAGACCCTGTCTCAAAAAGACAACAACAACAACAAAAAGCTTTGTAAAAAAGTGCATTAGTACTGTTTGAGTGTTACTGTGGTGGCTTAAGTGGGTACGGTATTGCTGGAGAGCATTGTGGCACTACGTGTGCCTACCCACTGCCCCAAAGAGCCCCGCTGAGCGGAATCTGTTACACAGAGTTAGCCGTACAGAGACGGGTGTACAAAGATATGTGACAGCATCATGTGAGAGTGGGAAAAATTGGAAACAAACTAACGTCCATAATTAAGAGACGGATAAAGGTTAGCGGAGCTGCTCCTCTGTGCAATCCTGTGCCACCTTTAGGAGCAACAAGGTAAGTTTATGTGGACTCGCAGGGCCGGCCCATGCCACAGTGTTGAGTAAACAAAGCAGGTTCAGACTACTGACTGGTGCAAAAATTTTTCGCAAATTTTCACAGATCTCAAGGCAAATTGTGCTGTGGGAAAAAAAAAAAGCCAGTGTAAATTATTTGAATTACATACCTTTCTTGAAATTACAGAAGCATAGAGGTGAACAGATACGCAGTTGCTGGGACTGGGAAGTTGGGAGAGGTGAACAGCGTAGGGGGCCTGTGGCGACGGGGTCTTGAGTGTGGTGTTGCACGGTACACATGTGAACGCGGACACCTCTCGCAAGTGAGTGCACATGAAAATGGCACAGTCTGACCAAGCTCTATGAACTGTGCTAAT